ATTAATCTTGATAGTTCAGATAATAAAGGTACTCATTGGGTCTGTTATAAAGTAAATAAAAGTGAATATTATTATTTTGACTCTTTTGGTTTGGACCCACCTCAAGAAATAATAAAATATCTTAAACATAATACTTCAAACGAAATAATTACTTCAACGTTTCAAATACAAAAATTTGATACTCATCATTGTGGATACTACTGTCTACTCTTATTAAAATTATTAGAAAAACATGATTATAAAAATTCTATTCTAACTCTGATTTAGGAATTCTATAATGCTCGAAAGCTAGAGTGTCTATATTATCTACTGTATACCTTTTTGATTCTTTATCTTTACCAACTAAATTATTTAACACAACCTTATTCTGTTTTACAGTATGAATTTGATGCTTACTCGAATTAAATAACTTTTTAACAACAGATTTCTTCACACCTTTATTTCTTTTAGACTCCATTCCCTCATCAGTTTTAAAAGCATATTGTTTTGGTCTAAAGGCTACAATCTCAGTCATTATCTTTCCATTTAACTCATCTTTGAATTTCCCAATAACTTTTTTATTCTCAATGCTATGAAGTTTATTTTCTTTGGGATAATCCGAAAAATCAAAGTGTTCTTTCATATGCATCATATCTTCATAGACATCGTCTGTTTTAATTTCATAAATATAAGAATCAGTATCTTGATAACACAGTCTCAAGTTTGAAGTATACTTCGAAGCATAACATCATAGTGGAACTCATACATTAGATACTTGCTCAAATCTAAAATAGACATCCCCACATAAATTGGCTTATCTAATTTAATATTCTTCTGAGTCATCTCTACTAAAATCATATTCTCATTTATAATATGTCTCTGTTTAAAATTATTGCTAGCAGCTAGTTTCATAACTTTATCCATATTTGACACCACTTTGACATCCACTCTATTTCTAACGTTCTCCATAGTTTTACCAAAGACAGAATTGTTCATGAGCTTGAAAAAGTCTTTCTCAAAATCATTCTTGGCATTTTTTCTCAAGTTAGTATTCAGTTCTATGTAAGAAGATAACCAATTGCTTTCTTTAAAAGTAATAACTCTATGAATTTTCTTCAAAATTAATCCATGATCTAAAACTTGCAAAAGGGCTTTATAATGTATTACATAATTTCTCTTTGGACTAAAATCATTTATTAGTTTATTGGTAGATCCAACTCGTTTATTCTCTGGACAGAAAGGTAAATCATTATGTTTATCATGTAATTCTTCTGGATAATCTAAATCTACTTCTAATATGCAACCTTTTTCTTTTGAAACAAGATCATCTATCATTTCTAAGGTAAAGTCTTCAACGAATTCGAATTCATCATAAGGTAATTTCTGACTCATTGCCCATCCATATAAATTATTTGCATCTAGATAAAGTAAGTATTTTGATTCTTCTTCAGAATTATAATTAGACATGTACTTGTTATTAGCTTTCGAATATCTTAGCATGGTATTACACATACCTCCTCTAATGCCTTTCTCAATAAAATTATACATTTCAACATCCTTGATTGTCTGTAGCTTCACTCCAGTTTTGAATAACATAGCATCCCAAGCTAATCCTGGAGATGTATAGTACCAACATGGATCTAACTTATATTCTTTAAGAGACACATTTCTGAAAGTTTCAAAAACATCAGCTAATAGTAACACATCATTAATCATATAAATTCTAGTGTAGTCTTCTAAAGTTTTACAATCAGTTTCTCCCCATACATTTAGAGCATATTCATAATTCTCTTCACTAATATTTTCACCAGATAGAGCATTGTAGAAGTTTTCAATTGGAGGAAGTTCTTCGTTAGAATACTTTTTAAAGGAATCAATAAAATCATATGGATATACACCTTTGCGTCTCAACAGTTTAAACATCTTCTCATCATTATAATACTTTTTAGTAATCACACATTCGTCATCTTGTAGGTTACTGCTGAGATAGTCCAGACTGGAAGGCATGAATCCTAAACTATCCAGGAATCTTATTTCACATCTTTTAGAATCATCATGAAAGTAATAACTAAAACTAATAAATTTTTCTATATTTGCTGAGATGCTTTTAATTTCAACACCTTTTTCCTTCAATAGTTTGCTTGATTCCTCATCACTAATTATATGATGTGAGTCATAGCCTTTAAGATTATGGAAAAATACTGGTATAAAATTATTTCTACGTTTCAATCGGTTACATGCTTTACATAGAGGTCCTCTGTATAATCCAGTCCAATGATCGTGATCTCTAACTTTGTCTCCTTGGAATGCTTTTCCACAATGTGGACATGACTTACAGCTGTCATATTCTTCCCACTCTTCATTGTTTAATTTTTTCATTTTCTCATCACCTTTATTCAATAGTCTTGCACATACATCTAAGATATATTCATTGAACTTCAAGATAGTATTATATCCAACATAGCTCTTCATTTCGTAAATACTCTGAGTGAAAGAATCCACAACAATCACACAGAATGCAGAAGCAGTATGTTTTCCAACGTTTTCACTCCAAGGCTTGTCAAGAGAATTGTTAACACCAGCAATCTTGTATATAACAGATTCAAAATCGGCGTAACATACAAATCTATGTTTTTGTGTTTTCTGAATATTAGAAAATTCAATATAATCATTGGAAGGTTTAATCATTTGCATTGGAGCATTACTCATACAGTCACCTAAATGATTTTCAAACTTCTCTGCATTGTAAAAGTTATTATGACATCTAATACAAAATTTATTGCTTCTACTATTTTGGGTGTTCATCAATCTATCAATATTTTTAATCAAACAGTAATGACCTTCTCCAGATTCATCAGTTACTAACAAAAGGTTTATCACTCTACTTAAATCTACGTTGATGTTTTTAGATACTTTATATGACTCAATTATTGCTGGTCCTGTGACATCATGAGTTACAATATTAACAGCCAAGTTATTTCTCTTCTCAAACTTATCTACATCTTTAACTTGGAATGGAAACTCGAAACCTTCGAAATTAATTTTAGAAATGTGATCCTTATATTTACTTACTCGTTCAGGATTTTGATCCACTGGATATAAGTGAGCTAAAATACACCACATAAAACATTTTTCATCTTTGTTTTGAACATTGACTACTGCTTTTTTATTTTTTATCCAATCTGGTAATTCAATATATTTAGATCCTGATAATGGCATAATCTTAGTTTGAAACATTCTTAAACCTATGATTCTGTTTAATCTAAAACCAGAACCTTTACCTTGAAAATGTTCTAATCTATTTACTAAATCTAATTTTAATTTTTCATAAAAGACTTTTCTATCATCCGCCGGATTCACTATTTCGCTAGCTGTTTTTAGATGGACTATAGCCTTATTTTCAGTTCCCTCTTGTTTCATTTCACATTCTAAGGATACATATATTTTCACACTATTTTCATAAATTTTTTTAACAATATCAGGCCCTTTCTTATCTAAAAAGGATTCTAATGTTTTAGAATTTCCACTGTGAAAAGTATCTCTCAATGTATCACCAACTTCTTTGTAATCACTAAAGACAGTTTCATCGAAGGGAAATAGATTCATCATTTGAAGATTTGACTTTTCGCTAAGTTCATCTATATCCAGCTGTTTGAGTATTTTACGCATTTCAGGCACGCTCATATTTCTAACATCATCTCTACTTGTGTTAGTTCTGTTTCTTACAAGTTTTCGTAGTTGATCCCTTTTTAATTTTTTGTAATCAACTTGTTCCATTTATAGAGCAAGAAAAGTATCATTTAAAACCTTTAATAAATTTTCAGAAATATTGAATTAATCAATCTAAAATCGATGATATTTCCTGTAATAAATGCATTCTGTAGTTGAGATAAATGACCCAAAACGACGTAATGAAATAGTAAACAACTTTTTGAAAAATCGGAAAGAGCATAAAATCAAGAATTTACAAGAGCGATCAGATTTAGAACATGTAGAAGATTATAGAATTGAAGTATTTAAACCTATTTTAGAATCCAACAAAAAACTACAAGAAGAAATTATAGATGAAAAGAATAAAATAGTAGAAACTCTAAACAACTTTAAATCTCCTTCTCAACTTTCTATAGGACCTCCATCCACTTCGACACCAAAGACAAATCGTAAAAGTCTCATTAAGCAACCCTCAGTAATCCTACCTCCCTCTCTACCTAGTTCCTCTCCACCTCAAGTTGTAAGTAATCTAATTGTAAGTTATCTTCAGGACGGATCTGATAGAAGCAATGCCGGATACTCAATCAAGTTCAACAAAGCAGAAAAGAAATATACTATTGGTAACAAAGACATTACATTCGATCAAAATATTATCAAAGTTAATAATGAAGAATACACAGCAACTGAAGGGTTAATGGAGTTACTACTCAAAAAGTCTCCCGACTTGAATAAGATTACAACTGAAGATTCTTCAAATTACCAAAAAATATTATTATGCTCCAATGCTCTGTACCAAGGGTTTGATAAAGAATCCAAAAGATATAATGCAGATTCCAGTGATAAATGGGCGTTCATAAAGTCTAAATATTTTGTAGCTAAGACCCCAACTACAGCTGGAACATCTTCAACATCAGGAAGTTCTATTTCTTTCATACCATCAAATACCAACTCTCTAATTGACTTATTAAGACTATCTATTGGTTCATATCAGGCTGGTAACAAAGACGAGTATAATAAAATTCATGCTATGTTAGATGAACTAGTCAAACAGAAAGTAATCAAGAAGAAAGACTTAGGGGTTATTTACTTGAATATTGGTATGTAATGTTATACAAAGTTATACTGTTTTATACAATGTTATATTATGTTATTAACTTCATACTAGATAAATGTCACGAAATATTGTTCTAGCAAAAATGTATATTAGTGATCAAGAAAAAACTCCACTCAAAATTGACAAGAGAAAATGGGTAAAACAGCACAATCTTTCTACTCAAACTTTATATAGAGGTTTATGGGAATTAGGTAAAGAAATGGATGTTTCTAAATACCTTGGATCTAAAAAATCTTCCCAACCTGTAGAAAAAGTATCTTTCCAAACTCTAGAAACCCCCAATCAATGCAACAGAATAAATCTTCTTTCTCCTAGAGAAAACTAATTTTTCTATTCTGACTTTTTGAACTTGATTTTTTTATGTAATAAATGAGTAAAGTAATGACTATAGAGAAAATGAATAAAGCTACTGAAAATAAAAAAATAATAGACCAGCTAGATAATATAGGAATAACAGCACATGGAGCCGGTTATAAAGACAAGTTAAATTATATGATTCTTCTATCTAACAATATTGATAAAGTTCCAGACCTATCTCCTGATACAAAAGAAGATTTAGAAAAAATGAAGAATGAAATTGAAAAAGCGAATAAACTGGCAAAATCGGAACCAGTTGAAAGTAAAAAACATTATTTAAATGCTGCCAAATACAATAACAATTTTACTGAGGCTCATGGAATAAATCTTAATTTTCTATTAACAGGAGCTAGAAAACAAATCAAAGTTCTATCAGAAACAGCTTCACAATATTCTAGAGATATTGCTGCAGAAATGGCTGAACAAAATAAACAACTAATTAGTGAAAATAAATCTATAGAGGAAAGGAGGAAAAATCAAGGTTTTTTTTGAGCAACTGTTCTCCAACACAGAAAGATTTAATTGATACACTTTGTATAGATATAATTATAAAACATATTGTTAAATATTGGCCTAATCCTCCTGAAACAATCAATATTTATACTGGCCGAAAGAATAATACAGACACAAAAATATACTTAACAAAGAAAGAGCAGAAACCATACAAAGAGACACCAGGTAGATTCTTGTCAAAGGATGGGGTTGGAGTGGATGTAAAGAAATTTGTGTTGTCTTATTTTAATGAAGTGAGTGAACAACTAAGCACTAATAATATCAAAAATCCTAAGGATAAAATATCAAAATGGTTGGAAACTAATAAGTAGAAGAATGTATCAAACCGTCAGTAAATGCCATAGATAATAACATTTTTCTTCTTTCATTTTCTGATATACTATCTTTAATTCTTTTATCTGGAACATAAGTATTAGCTCTGCGATATAACTGCTCAACATCTTTTAAACTCAATAGGTGTTCATCCTCTTCAGATATAAAAACAGATGCCCTTGAATTGTATAAAAACTTTATATCATCCTCGGATGTGATGATATAGTGGGTATCATTTTTTATTGACGGAACATTTTCATTTGTATTCCCTCTAATTTCAAAATCGATTTTATTAATTGGTGTATTCTTTTTATTGAATCTAGTTGTATCTCTAGTTTGTTCTATATCTATGATGTTGTCTCCATATGGACCATATCTATTACAAAAAAGTTTGTCGTTACAATATAAAAATATCGGTTCGGATCCTCCATGAAATTTTGTTTTATAACTTTTATCTATATCTTGCATTAGCTCATCATTGCTAGTGAAGAAAAAGTATTTCTCGATTTTATCAAAAGTTATTAGTTCGTCTGTTAACTTGCGTTCAGATGACAAGAAGTAAAATACTTCAGGAGATTCTCTCTCATAATCATCGTTTCTAATTTTCGAGTGTTTATTCCGACAAGCCTTATTACATGTGTGTTTGTGTAGATACATATGTGGTCTATGAGGTCTGTAGATGATAGACTCGTCTTCCATTTAATCATATTAGGTTGGCGGGAAAGTCTTTGTCACTTTTTCAATAGTTTATTTCTCAA